TAATTTTAAGTGTTTTCAAATTGTGTCATTGCTAAAATCATCAAAAGCAATTGATGCCATTGTTAGAGTAGTACATGACAAATCTTAGTATTTTATATGATTTGTAGTTGAATCCGTCATTTTAAAAAATTCATAAGTACACTGGGGGAAAGTTCTAACATATCTCACTTATTTTAAAGGAACTAAAAAATGTATAAGGCTTGATTTTAAAAAGAAAATGAAGTTGGGTATGGTGGCATATACCTGCAATCCCAGCACTTAGGAGGCTGAGGCAAGAGAACCACAATTTCATAGTCTAGACCATGCCTCAAAATGAAGAAGAAAAAGGAGGAGAGAGAAGAAGCAGCAGCAGAAGAAGAAGAAGGAGAAGGAGAAGAAACCAAATATCAAACAAATAAGTATGTAGGAAACCATTAAACACATGGGTTTTGAAATTTAAACATCTTCAATAAACAAAACTTTAGACACACAAAATAATTGCCAACAAAGCATACTTAGTCAAAACTGCACCAATGTGTTTTCAATCATTTTGTAAGTTATTTAGTGCAAACTTGGAGAAATGATTTTAATTAAGAAAGATTATACTTGATTATTAATATGAGAAAACAGACTGCCAATATTTAAAATATTTGTCAGAATGATAACAGAAACAAAGAATTGCTTGGCAATGGTGAAGCCCAAGCTTCACAGGAATCTGTTTCTATGATTTCACTGTTTCAAAATAGAACAGTGAACAGTCTCAAGCATCTATATGTGCTACTGGGTGCCTGATTACCAAATGCCTTGGTAAAAACTGCCATGAATTTCACTAATTGGTAGAAAGAGCCTTGGGTATTAATTATAATGAATGAATATACAATATTCTTTTAGACTCTAACACAGTATCTGTATTCTATCTCCTTATTTTATCCCTCTTTCTAGAACTCTCCAATGGATCTGCTGATATAAGTAACTTCAGATTGCAAACATATGGTGCCAGTCAAACCTTCCCAACTTATCTCTCCCATGTGGGGTATACATGTGTGCTGACCTGCTGTGTGGGTGTACATGACACGCAGAGGCCACGTATTCTTGAGTGTCATGTATTCTCTGCCTTATTCTGTTGAGAGATATCTTACTGAACCTGGGGATCACTGTTTTTGGTTGGGCTGGGTGGCCAGAGAACTCCTAGGATCTGCTTGTCTCTGACCTCCAGAGTTGAGGTTCCAAGCATGCAGGTTCATGCCTGGCTTTTCTGTGTGTGTGCTGGAGATTCTAAGTCAGGTCCCCATACTTGCACAGCAAGCTTTTACCCACTATACCCCAGCCCTTACTATCTGATTTTTCTATTCCTTCATAATATAAGTACATAATATAAGTACATTATTCTTGTTAGTCTAATACTTTAAAAGAATGTTTTCAGTCTATTAGTTTATATTATTAAAAATAATCAATAAGTGCCTCTGCTTAATTATCAGATTTTTAAGGGTCTGTTTAAAAATCCTCTTTAAGCGAAAGATGTTCTAATGGATTCCATCTTTAGTGTAGTTTGTCTACCTCTAATCTTTGGTAACATCTGCATGTACACATAAAAATTATCACATTATCTTGAATTGTTGTCTACATGTGTTTTATTCTCTCATAGATTATAAAATCTATTTTTATTTGTTATTTGGATTTTTGAGATAATGTCTCATGTAATCTAGACTGGCCTTGAACTTAGTATGTAGCTGGAATGATAACATCCAGTTCTTCTGCCTCTACCAAGTGCTGAGATTACAGGCCTGGGCCACCATATTCAGCTAGTCCTAAGATCTAAAAATATAAATTTCATATCTGTGACACACATTCTAGGTTGTCCATCCAAGATCCATTTCTCTTCTTTCTTATAAAAGGAATCCCAATTCTGCTTAGGTGGAAACCACCCAGCTAAAACTACTCACTTTCCAAAATTCCCTGATAAATAGTAGTGCCCATGTGATCCTAAGTTCTGACTAAAAAGATCTCTTTCTATTGAGGTCATCATAAAGCTACTGTTTGCTGTAACACAATTGTTAAATGACCAAGTGACAGATATTGGGGTTCAAGCTTCAAGCTGAAGGTAAGAGAAGCAAAGCAACCTGCTACTAGCTCTTACCTCTACCTTAGGCTGAAAGGTTGATCCTGTCTCCACGAGTTCTCAGTAAGCCTCAGACTGCTGCCACTCCTCAGTGTGGCTGGAGACTAATTGCCTCATAAGACCCTTTGGTTCTTCCTTTCATATCTCTCAAACCCTGGGATTAAAGGTATGTGACCCAAAGTGCTAGATCACCTTTGTGTGTTTATCTTTAGGATTGCATCAATTTCATGTAGCTCAATGTGGCCTTGAACTAACAGAGATCCATTGGCTTATCTCTTGAGTCCTGGGCTTAAAGGTGTGTATCACCATTGCCTGACTCTATGGCTGTGGATAGCTTTGCTTTCTTACCCCCAGACAAGCTTTAATAAATCATAAATAACATATCAACACAGTTTTCCTCACTGGAAGGAAACAAAATAGGAATGTGATGCCTAAAGGAAGAAGAGTCTTGTGTGACACCAAGGACAAAGTTCCTAACCAAAAGCTTAGGATATTTGTGACAATTGGGATAATTAGGACATTGGACAATGTGCTCACAATGGACAAATGTTTTCATAAGTACCTGCAAGACACTGGGTCAGACCAAGCAGTGATGCTTTTTTCTTCAAACAGGATCTCATGTAGTCATGACTGGCTCAAACTCAGTGGTCAAATTAAGGCTACCCCTGAATTTACCATCTGCTGTCTCCACCTCTTGAGTGCTAGGATTATAGGCATGCACCTTCATGCACACATGCTGAATACCAAACCCAAGGCTTCATTCATGTTAGGCAAGTTAACTATATCTCCAGCATCCAAAAGGGAATTTTCATTTATTTGGTATTTTTCAAATGGTAATTTTAAAAGACACAAACTAAATACCAGTTTCAATAGGGAGAAAACTACTTTTAACTTAGGAGATCAAGAATAAGTTTTTGTGGAGGCTTATAAAGGACTTTAAGAATTCGTAAGGTAGGAATTGGGGAGGGAGGATTAGGAGAAAAGGTGCCTGGATATTAGGAAACAAAGAGAAACTCAAAAAAGTAAGAGCAAGATTTTGGCTAGGAAAATGGTGGTGATATTAGCAGAAATAAGAAGCATAATGCAAACTTAGTTAACTAATACACAATACACCAACAAATAAATGATAAGACCAATAAAAAATAATAGCAACAAAAAGGAATGGTATATTTTGAGAGGACAGATAAAAGGTTGAACTTCTGTCCATATTTAGTCTTAATAACAAAGTGAATAGGTGAAAACAAGATTTCTTTTAACTCATCTCGCTCCAGCTGCCATTCTACTTGTTTGACACCTAGCAGAAGGCACATATTTGACAATTACACAAGGAACAATCTCACCTTTATCCCATCATCATGTGAAATCATATTTGAAATAATCAACATAATTGACAAAGAAGACCTAGAGTATGCTGCCAAAGGAGCCTAGAACCTGAGTCTTAAAGTTAAAACAAAATGAAAATTCAGATTTTCGGTCTCATCAGCCACATTTCACATGCTCAGTAGATACATGTACTGGACAATGGAAAAACACCCCATAACTGCAGAAAATTCTAGCAAACAGTCTGACCCAGAGGATGTCTCTTTGAAATCAGGAATCAGGCAAAATTGGCTATAGCCAATTCTTCAACATTTTTCTGGACTGGATTTGAATCCATGCAGTATGTTACTTAAGAAAGGGAAATGAAGCTGAGGTAAAGGAAAAGAATGATTGTTCCTTTGGAAAACACAGGAAAATAAAACCTATTATAAAACTGAATGACTAGAAAATAGAATATAAAACAAATAAATCAAATCTACAAATGTTTGCACAAGCCATCTTTATAAAACAAGCGGATGGCGTCTACTGACAGCAGCAATGAAGGTAAGCACATCTTGAAATGTGCTTGATGAGGTGTACAGTAGCTATATGACTACAGCTGAAATAAAGTCTTTAGCTCCATCAGGGACTTAAGAGAAAAGAAGCACAAGGGATGTAAAGGTAGCTTAGCAGTGAAGGGCACTTGCTGCTCCTCCAGAGACCTGGGTTTCCTTGCATCCAGACTGGGTGGCTCTTAGCTGCCTATAACTTCAGCTACAGATGATCTTCTGATCTCACCAGGCACATACACACAGAGAAATAATAATAAAATAAGCCTTTTTAAAGAAAAAAGAGAGGAAAAAAGAAACAGGAAAGAAGTAAGGTGCCATGTTGGCTTAATTTCTATTTCTTCACTTCAAAGTAAATTTCTTCTTCTGATTTACTCCCCTAACCTCAAAGCTCAATGCAGCGAGATAGCTCCATCAAGGACATTGGAAGGACACAACCAGGGACAGGACTCCCTCCTGCAGCAGCTACAGCCCTCGACTGCTTTAAGGTTTTCTGTTGGTTTCTAAGGAGACAGACCAGTGTCAATGCTGAAGGAAACAACTCACATTATTCTAGTATGACTCAAAAGAAATGCACTGGAGCAACCATTTTAACTGCTTAAGAGATGTTCTATAAGAAGTATAATGTTACTTAGTCAAACCACAAGTCCCAGTGTATCAACACCCTTCAGGGGACTCTCTGAATAAGGACAACTATAAGATGGTATGAACAGAATATTAAAATTGTCCAGAGAAAAATTAACAATGAACCACTTTTATCTTCTTTCCATGTAAATTAGTTACTGTAGGACAACAAACATATCAGCCCAAAATGAGAGCCAAAGTCAAAAGCCCACCCAGACTTAAGTACACACTGAGAAACAACATTCCTTTGTTTGAAATACTTAAGTTACTACTTAAACATTTAAATGTATTACCTAACAGTTTTAAACTTAACAATGCACAAATATGAAAAGATTCTGTACCTCCCCACCACCAAATACCAAACATTAAGAAAACAGATTTTTTTTTCTCAGTTTCTGGGTGGTACAAACCTAGAGGCCAGCAAACATTCCTGGCTTCATTCTTAAGGGTGATGAAATACATCTGCAAAAGCAAACAGTTTTAAAGCTGAGCTTGTCAAAATTTTATTTTGAAATAGCAGCAAAAAAATTGTTTTTCTCATTTCCTCAATACTCTTAAAGGGATATCGAAGCAAAATCCAGTAAACTTTTTTTTTCAATGAAGAATAGCTTTGGTGAGCATACATTCATTCATACACACAACCACACAGTGAGGTTTAAGGATAGACTCTGACAAATAACTAGTCCCATAAAGCTGATTTATGGTGCAGAACATTACTCAATGCCTTAGGCAAGTAAAAATGTTCCTTCTGTTTCCCCTTTTAATGTGAATCTACACTGAACCTCCCAAAAGAAAATATCTTTTCCACCAAAGTCTGAACATAACTTCTTTTTTCTCTCTTTTCTAATTTAAATTAGAAGCAAGCTTGCTTTGCATGTAAATCCCAGCTCCCTTTCCCTTCCCTCCTCTCCTGACCCCAACTTGTTCCCCAACCCCCATCCCATCCCCCCTGTTTCCCAGGGAGGGGGAGGCCCTCCATGGGGGATCTTCAAAGTCTCTCATATCATTCAGGGCAGGGTCTAGGCCTCCCCCATGTGTCTAGGCTGAGAGAGCATCCCTACATGTGGAATGGACTCCCAAATAATGCTACTATGAACATAGTTGCACACTTGTCCTTATTTATGAAAATGCATCTTTTGGGTATATTCCTAAGAGTGGAATTGCTGGGTCTTGTGGTAGACTGATTACCATTTTCCTGAAGACCCACCATATTGATTTCCAAAGTGATTGTATAAGTTTGCACTCCCACCAGTAGTGGAGGAGTGTTTCCCTTTCTCCACATCCTCTCCAGCATAAAGTATCATTAGCCATTCTGACAGGAATAAGATGGTATTGCAGAGTTGTTTTGATTTGCATTTCCCCAATGGCTAAGGATGTTGAGCACTTTCTTAGTGTCTCTCAGCCATTTCAGACTCCTCTATTGAGAATTCTCTATTTAGCTCTGTAACCCATTTTTAAATTGGGTTATTTGGTATTTTGGAGACTTAGCCTCTTGAGTTCTTTGTTTATTTTGGAAATCAGCCCTCTGTCAGATGTGGGGTTGGTGAACATCTTTTCCCATTATGTGGGCTGTCATTTTTATCTTGTTGACTGTGTCCTTTGCCTTGCAGAAGCTTCTCAGTTTCAGGAGGTCCCATTTATTAATTGTCTATCTCAGTGTCTGTGCTACTGGTGTTATGTTCAGGAAGTAGTCTCCTGTACCAATTCGTTCAAGGGTACCTCCCACTTTCTCTTCTAAGAGGTACAGTGTGGCTGGATTGATGTTGAGGTCTTTGATCCATTTCGACTTAAGTTTTGTGCATGATAATAGATATGTATCTATCTGCAGTCTTCTACATGTCAGTATCCAGTTATGCCTGCACCATTTGTTGAAGACTTTCCTTTTTCCATAGTATAATTTTAGCTTCTTTGTCAAAAATCAGGTGTTCATAGGTGTGTGTGGGTTAATATCAGGGTCTTCAATTTGATTCCATTTGTCTACCTGTCTATTTTTGTGACAATACCAAGCTGTTTTCATTACTACAGCTCTACAGTAGAGCTTGAATTTAGGGATGGTGATGTGTCCTTAAGTTCTTTTATTGTACAGGGTTGTTTTGGCTATCCTGGACCCTTTGTTTTTCCATATAAAGTTGAGAATTGCCCTTTCAAGGTCTGTGAAGCATTTGTGCTGGGATTTTGATAGGGATTGCATTGAATCTGTAGATTGCTTTTGGTAAGATTGCCATTTTTACTATGTTGATCCTACCTATCCAAGAGCATGGGAGATCTTTCCATTTTCTGTCATCTTCTTTAATTTCTTTAATGACTCAAGCTCTTGCCATATAAGTCTTTTACCTGTTTTATTAGAGTCACCCCAAGATATTTTATGTTGTTTGTGGCTATTGTAAAAGGTGATGTTTCTCTGATTTGTTTCTCAGCACATTTATCGTCTATATATAGGAGGGCTACTGATTTTTTTTTTGAGTTAATCTTATATCCTGCCACTTTGATGAAGGTGTTTATCAGCTGTAGAAGTTCCCTGGTAGAATTCTTCAGGTCACTTAATTTCTTTTTATATATATATAAATTTTATTTAAATCAGAAAAAAATCTTATTTTACATATCAATATCAGTTCCCTCTCCCTCCTATCCTCCCATACATCCCAAAAACCACCATCCCATCCCCCATCCACTCCCCAGGGAGAGTGATACTTTCTATGAGGGATCATTAAAATCTGTCAAGTCATTTGGGGCTGGGCCTAGGCTCACCCCTGTGTATCTAGGCTAAGAGAATATCTCTCCATGGGAAATGCGCTCCCAAAGTCCCTTAGTGCACTAGGGATACATCCTGGTTCCACTGCCAGAGGCCCCATAGACTGCCCAGTACTCTTACATTCAGGGGGCCTGGTTTGGTCCTATGTTGGTTCCCCAGCTGTCAGTCTGGAGTCCATGAGCTCCCCCTTGCTCAGGTCAGGTGTTTCTGTGGGTTTTCCCAGCATGGTCTTGACCACTTTGCTCATTATTCTTCCCTGTCTACAACTGGATTCCAGGAGTTTGGCTCAGTGCTTGGCTGTGGATCTTTGCTTCTGCTTCCATCAGCTACTGAAGGCTCTAAGATGGCATGTAAGGTAGCCTCTCCACTATTGCTTAGGGTCCTAGTTGAGGTCATCCTTATGGATCTCTGTACAATTCCCTAGTGCCAGATTTCTCTTTAAACCTATAGTAGCTTCCTCTATTGATGTGTCTCTTTTCTTGCTCTTCTCTATTCATCTCCCCACTCCATCTTCCCGATTCCTCATGTTCTCCTCCCCCCTCTTCTCCTCCCCTCCTCTTTCTCCTACATCCCTCCCCCACCCCCCATACTTCCAATTTGTTCAGGGGTTCTTGTACCTTTCTGCCTCACTGGGGGACTGTGTATGTCTCTCTTATGGTCCTCCTTGTTTCCTAGCTTCTCTGGAGGTTAAACATACTTTCTTATCAGCAGGATATCTAATGAGTTAAATCAATCACTGGGCTGCTAATTCAATTTGATCTTCAGCAGAAAGAAGTCTTCAGATTGAAGAAAGTCATTTTTGTTGTATCTTGATATTCTGGACAAAATACAATTCCCTGGCCAAACATGTAAGTCACATAATGCCAAACAAATGGAAGTCAAACTCTAGCAATTGAAAAGAAACACAATAAACAACCATTTTCCATTCTAAGGATCTAACAGACAAATAATAATAACCTTTAAAAGCAAAAATTGATGGAGGTTGCCATGTAAAGAGAAAATAAGAAGCATAAAACAGAGAACAGTTTATTATTAATTCCAGGATCATAACTGAGCAAGTCAGACATTTGGAAAAAGAAAGTGAGGGGCATGCTGGGGCATGCAGAGGAAGATGATAGAAGGAATTTTAAAAATAACAAATTACAAAAGACAATAATGCAGAGACAAAAACAATGTTAGGGAGTGAGCATTCTTAGAAGATCCCTACTAGATGATGGAGACCAGAGGAAAGCAGGCACAAACCACACAAGGAACACCCAGGAGATAAGTGTGGGTCTGTGTGAGGTCCTGGAACATCCTGTGCTGTCCCAACATCAGCACTGCAGAAATCATACAAGATAGCTGATTAGTCTTCTCTCTCTAATTCACGTTGTATATATATAAATTTGGCCAATACAGAATTATGCAAAGAATTTGAATCCCAGGTTTCAAAGAACAAGAATCACACCAATTTTGAAAAATGATTTATGCTTTGAGTTTCCTATCTTGTTCAGTCAACTTCAGAGTATTAAGGTCTAATTCAACATCTTTATTACTGTACTGCTGTATAGACTATTGAATCCAAGTTAGCAAAAACTCTAGGTACCAAGAGCTTTAATTTGGTCACTGTTACATTCACAAAAATGCATAGACGATTGTTGTGGTGGTAAATTTTGTCAACTTGGCTAGACTAAGGGGCTCAATTGTTTGGTCAAAGTCTGGGCTGGGTTTTGCTGTAGAAGCACTTTCTGGATATGACTACCATTTACAACCAGTTAATATCAAGAAAAACAAATAAGTCTCCACAATGAGTGAAGTTTATCGTATAGGTGAGGTGATAAATCAAAAGGAAAGACAGTTTTCTAGGACCAAGAATTCTACCTCCAGACCATGACATTAAACATTTGAATGTAAGTGGGGCATGGTGGTGCATGTCTTTAACTCCAGCACTTGGGAGACAGAGACAAGAGAATCTGTGAGTCTGAGAATAGCCTGATCTACACAAAGCTAGTTCTATGATTGCCAGAGCTACACAGTTAATCTTTATCTCTAAAGAAACCAAAACCAAAACAAAACAAAAGAAAAACAAAAAACAAACAAGCATGAGTGTATAGTCTTCATATTTAACACATAACAATAAATCTTATCTGAACTTCTAGCCTGGTAGCCTGCCCAAAAGACTTCAATTTGCCAATCCTTACAAATACAAAAGCCATTTCCTTAAAATCATTCTTCATACACACACACACACACACACACACACAAATATATATATACATGATACATGCAATGACATGACAGGTCTTGGGACATGTTCAGTCAATATACTGCTTACTGTGTGCAAGCCTGAGGACCTGAGTTTCAGTCCTCAGTGTCTACTTAAAACTGGCCAGCCACTCTAGCAAAATTGGTGAGCTCTAGGTTCAGTGAGAGGTCTTGTCTCAAACAAACAAACAAACAAACAAATAAATAAATAAATAAGAAAAAAGAGGGAGGAAGAAGGAAGGGAGGTGAAGAGCAATTGAGGAAGGAAGACACCTAACATCAGCTTGTGGCTTCCATACACCCACACACACACATGCATACCACATACACTGTATATACAAAAAGTTTACAACATTGCATATATTGACATCTCTATATACATCTTTCTCTCTCTGTACACACACATACATACATTGTAAACATATATATGTACATATATATATAGAATACCAATTAATATAATATCTATACTTATTACAAAAACCAAATGTATTAGACTAGACAGAGTGTCACATTTCTGCAATCTCCACAGTTGGGGAGTGGAGACAGGAAGACCACAAGTCCTAAGTCAGTCTGTGTACATCCTAAGTTTAAGACTGACCTGAACTGTCAATGACATTCTATCTCAAAAATATTATTGTCTTTCATCATGTACTACTAAGTAAAACCTCCAGTCCCAGGAGGGTTACATTTTGTTGAGTTACTGGCCAAAGAGGTCCCTTGGAAACTCCACAGCATAATAGGCTACTGTCGGCTATCAGTTACTCCACACAACCTGATGGTAAGGCCCTCTTGATAAAAACGT